AATGATACCCCATACAGCTATTAAAAAGGCAAAAGCCAGGCACAGTGGCACATGCCAACAATCCCAATGACTGGAGTGTGAGGCAGGAGGACAGGAAATTTGAGGCCAGCCTGGTCAACTTAAAGAGACCCTGTCTCAGAATAAAAAATAAAAAGGGCTGGGGATATCGCTCAGTGATACAGCACCCTAAGTTCAATCTCTAGTACTTAAAAAAAAAATCAAGTCAAAGGAAATATTTCTTCATTTAAACAACTGTTCATTCTATATTGTTAAATGAAAGCAATAAATAAATAAAATGGCTCATTATCACATAAGTATGTACAATGATACTACTGTTTTAAGGAGAAAGACTCCTCTTCCCATATATACAATGACTAGAACAGACACAATATTTACCGTGCTTATGTCTGGGTAATAGGATTACATGTGGATTTTTTTTTTCATTTTGTGTTTTTCCATTTTTCTAAGCAGTTTCTACATTTAGTTGTATTGTTTTAAAATCTGAAATCCCTTAAAAAATGTGGATGCTGGGGATGTGGCTCAGTGGGAGAGCTCTTGCCTAATATATATGAAGCCCTGGCTTTGATCCCCAGCAACACACACACACACGAGAAATCTTCCAGGCAAGAATAAATCCTATTCCTTCTCCCTCCCTCAGGAGACTGCCAGGGATGGTTCCAGGGACCTGATTTGCCTGAATAAATCAGTTAGGTTGTTAGGTTTGGTGGTTGAAAGGGACAGAATAGACAGTTCCCTCGGCTTCTGGCTGAAAACTGACAGGGTAAGCCCTGATATTCCAACTCAACCTGGCCTAGCATGCCCCAAGGCCCAGTGAAAAGTTGGCTGAGCCCAAATCTGGGCTCCAGGGACTACAGGCTGAAGACAAGAGTTTCTCATTAGATAGTTACAGGTCCCAGGAGCTCAGTTTCCAAATAGGAAAGATAAAAATAGTCTGGAAGAGACTTCTAAAAGAGATACATGGACTTAGAACTGCCTTGTATCCTCCTCCTTCTGCTCTCAGTCTGGGCTTCAAATACCATCTGACCCTCTGTTACCACTGTTCCTGCTGTCCAAGTCAAATCCCACCCCTTCACATCTGGACCAGCCTCCTCAGTTTACCCCACCTGGGTTGCATCAGATCAACTCTCTTAAACCACCCCTGCTCAAAATTTTCCATGTCCCACAGGGGGGAACCATTTTAAAAATGAAGTCTTCAGGGATGGGCATGTAGCTCATCAGTAGAGTGCTTCCTAGCATGCATGAGGCCCTGGGCTCAATCCCCACCACATTTCTCCTGGGTAAGGGTCAAGCCCTCAGAAATCCTGAATTAACAGATCTGGAAGGGGACTCAGAAATGTGCATTTTAACTAGTAAGTCTAGTATCCCTAGTAAGGATCTTCTAAGAAAGAAAACCCTGTAGGAAAGAATCTCCCCTTGACTCCCAAAGGCAGTCTATGGTGGGGAGTCATTCCCAGTAAACATCCCCAGCCCTGGATTTGTGTCCCAGCAGACAGAAATCAGTCTGATTACAAATGAACTCAGCTCACTGAAATGGTAATCTCAATGAGATGCAAAGCACAACTTACAGAGTAAGAAATTATTTTCTACTGGATAAGTGTCTTGTCATATACTCCAGAAAAGTTCTGAATTGAAAACAGAGGTGGAAGAGTAAATCAAGTTCACCGTACTAAGGTTCCTGAACTAAGTCTAGTAAAAATCAGCATGTACTTGGTATTTAAAAGTATCCTAGGCGTGGTGGTGTATGACTGTAATTCCAATGACTTGGGAGGCTGAGGCAGGAGGATTCCAAGTTCAAGGCCAGCTTCAGCAACTTACTAAGCCCTAAGAAACCTAGTGAGACTGTGTCTCAAATTTTAAAAAGGAAGGCGGAGCTAGGGATGTGGCTCAGTAGTTAAGCACCCCTGGGTTAAATCCCCAGGACCAAAAGTATCTGTAATACTGCTTGGCATTGTGGTGAACACCTGAAATTTCAGTAACTCAGGAGGCTGAAAGAGGAGAATCACAAATTCAAGGTCAGCCTCAGCAACTTAGCAAGACTCTGTTTCAAAAAATAAAAAGGGCTGAAGATGTGGGGATGTAGCTCAGTGGTAAAGCACCGCAGGTTCGATCTCCTAATACAAAAAAAAAAAGTATCAGTAATATTGAAAAGAATTTGACATTAAATATTTAACAGATAAGCAGTGTGATTCTGATTTAAGGTATAAAAGTTAAAATGTACAGTTAAGTAATTGATATAATATATGTCAATAATTGATATTAGACTTATGATTTTAGTTTGAGAGGTTAGCAATAATTGGAACACTGGCTGTCTATTAGAATCACCCGGGATGCTACAAAGGTTAGTTAAGGAAGCCCCCATATTCTGAGTTCATGTCAGACAAAGAGCCTATATTTTTTAGACAGACAAAAGCCACTGACAAGAGAATTTTACTAAGTCTGTAAAAAGTATTAAATTGTTTACAAGAACTTGAAATTCAGTATGTTTATAAGTTTAATTAATCAGATTTTCTAGTAACCAAGTATCCTTGGGGATATTGAGCTTGTTAGGTTATACATCTAAGTACTTAAAAAGAAAATCAAATATATTAAATTTATAAATGGAGTTAAAATGTTTAAGGGAATGTAATTAAGCTGCAAATAGGGCTGAGTGTTTAAAGGAATTTAGTTTGTTAAACTTGAGATCAAACATCAAAGGAAAAGTGAAGGCCATTTTTCTTACTTTTCTAGATTTATGTACAGAATAATAATTCCTAAGTTGAAAGTGATGGCTTAAAGATAATTAGGTTTTTAAAAACTGTTATTCTGGCCAGGTGCAGTGGCACATGCCTGTAACCCAAGAAGCTCTGGAGGCTGAGACAGGAGAATCCTGTGTTCAAAGCCAGCCTCAGCAATGGCGAGGTGCTCAGCAACTCAGTGAGACCCTGTCTCTAAATAAAATACAAAATAGGGCTGGGGATGTGGCTCAGTGGTTGAGTGCCCCTGAGTTCAATCCCCAGTACCAAAAAACAAACCTGATATTCTGCCGGGCCTGGTGGTGCATGCCTGTGATCCCAGTGACTAAGGAGGCTAAGACAGGAAGATTGCAAGTTCAAGGCCAGCCTCAGAAACTCAGTGAGGCCTTGTCTCAAAATAAAAAATAAAAAGGGCTGAGAATGTAGCTCAGTGGTGAAAGTGCACCTGAATTAAATCTCCAGTATCAAAAAATAAATAAATAAAAATTGTTATTCCAAAATGAGAATTTCAGTTTAAAAGATTTAAAAAAATTAAAAAAACAGGAGAATAAGCCATATCTTTCACTCCTGGGGTTCTTCCCTATTCATCCCATCTAAAATAATTGCCTCTGAACTGTCCATCAGCCAGGTTTGTTTGTTGCAGGTGATTAGCAAGAAGTAAGTAATCTTTTCCTTCAGGCTCACTACTTTCTGCCCCAAGGAGTTACCAGGATGCGTTGCAAATAGTAAATAACCACTTTAAGGATAACTCATCCCAGATGTAGAGCATTTCACACTTCACCTAACCAGGGATTACAGTTACTTCCCCTACTCACCGTCCCATGGGGATTGAGTCCAGAGGCACTTTACCACCATCACTGAGATACATTCCCAGCCCTTTTCAGTTTTGATTTTGAGACAGGATTTTGCTAATTTGCCCAGGCTGTCCTACAACTTGTGATCTTCTTGCCTTAGCCTCCAGAGTAACTGGGAATATAGGCATGGACCAATTAACTGTTGCTCTTTACAGATGAATTAAATAGGGCCAGAAGTCCAGACCTGATTAAGGTCACAAGTAAGAGCCAGGGCCAGGCTTGAAGTCTGGTCCATGGTTTTGAATGCCCCTCCATCCTGATGGCTCCTATCTCAGGTTCATATGTCTCTAAACTTCAGAGAGAGAGAGATCTCCACTCAACTGTGACATCTCCACTTCCGATATAAACGGAATGTGGTTAAAGCAGAACATAAGATCATTCCCATTGATTTTTAAGTCATTTTGTGGTCAAAATTCCATTTCTCTTTCCTGCACACATCTGCCAGTTGTTCTGTCTGCCCTATTCCCTAAAGTAATAAAAAAATCGGTTTCTCTAATCCACAACCTAATCTAAATCATCATCATCCTTCAACTGATCCCCAGAAATAATTTCCCCTCTTCATTCATTCTCCCTAGAGCATCCAGAACGATGACATTAAAATATGAATTAGATCTTGCAGCATTCTTGTTTAAAACCCTTCAATGGTTTATTAATGCAAGTAAGAAAAAAATAAGACTTCTTACCATGGGTTGCAAGGCTAAACTGAGCTGATTCCAGCCTACCTCTTCATAGTCTATCCTATTTTCTTTAAAACATCCCAGGACTGCAGTCACCCCAGGGCCTTTGCACCAACATTTTCCTGTGTGACCCTCTACTATAATCATTCAGGACTCTTGTCAACTGTCACCCTCGAGGCAGCCACCCAGGCAAAACTCCCACCACCACCAATACCTTAAACATCCATTCTCTTGTTTTTCAAAGCACTATTTTGTTAACTGTCCCCTCCCCATCTGCCTATACAAAGTAGATTGAGCGCCCCTAGCTCAGGGCCTTCTTCACGGCGGAAAACGTTTGAGAAATACACTTTACCCCCAAAGCCCTGTTCTTTCTACTCCAAAGAAGCTCTTTCTAGTCCCAGGTCGCCTGCATTCTTGGATTCGAAGCCCAGAAGTGAGAAGAGAAAGCGCATTCGAGTCCTTCCTTCCCCTGAGGCCAGGCTGAACAGCTCGGCCCCAAGACCCTAAGGACTTTTGCCAGCTCTGGGCCTGCACTTGGGGCAGGCAGTGGCGGAGAGACAGATGGGGTCCCGGAAGCTCAGTTCCCTTAGACTTTTTATCCCTCCCCATGCCAGGAAATGGCGGGACGCCCAGATTTAAACGCAAGAGCACGAGCCTTCTAGCTGGGGAAAGAGACTAACTAGATCTCGCCCCTCACGTCCAGCCAAAGAAGGTACCTCGCTCCGCGGGGCTGGACGGCTGCGGGCTCCTCCTCCAATGCCCTCGAGTCGCGCACTGCTTGATGGTATTCGTAGTCCTTCCTTGGGCCCACCCTTCCCAGAAAGCTTCGGGAAGTCAAGCCGAGACAGAGAGGAGGTGGGGAACACGAGGGCTTCTGGGAGTTGTAGTTTAAAATATTCAAGCATCAAGGAAGGACTGGGAAAAAAACTGGGTAATAAATATTATCAAATTTGGGCTATGGGGACCTGAATTTCATGAGATACTTTTTTCTCCTGTGCATGTTATTAGTTACCTCCAGGGTTCAAAACGACGAGTATGTCTATTCATAGGAACCACAAATCCCAGAAAGCGTTGCACGTGGAGGCCTTTGGAGAGCGAGGTCGGCCTCGGCGCAGGCGCGGTGGCTCAAGTTCGGCTGTGAGGAAACATGGCGGCCCCGGCGCTTACTGCGAAGTTGTATTCCCTGCTGTTCCGAAGGACTTCCACTTTCGCCCTCACCATCGCGGTGGGCGCTCTGTTCTTCGAGCGCGCCTTCGATCAAGGCGCGGACGCTATCTACGAGCACATCAACGAGGGGGTGAGGGCTTGAGCCATGCTGACCTTGGGTCCGCTGAGGGGTGACGGTGGGAGTGGAGGTGGGACGGGGCTCAGTCTGTCTTCAACTGGAGAAGGGCAAACCATAGGCATCTTTTGCTGAGAGACTGATATCCCCCCTCCCGGTTTGGTGGGAATCCTAAAACGATGAATGAAATCCATAGACCCCATTTTGCAGGGGTTGTTGATACTGCCCCACCTCACGTGCCCACACGTCCATTTGCAGGAAACTAAAACCAGGTTAGAGCGAAGGATTTACTAGGACCCCACCGTCAGTAAGTCAGTTGCAGTTCCGAGCTGGAACCCGGACCCTTGTCTCCTGAAGGTGTCAATAGCAGATTGAAACAATCGTGAAAAGGACATCTTAGACGCCGTGGTTGACCTTTTAAAGATTGCTCTTTCAGTTCCCAAGGTGTTCCACGCCGGCAACGTGGTATTTATGACTAAAAGTAGGGCCTAGCTGGGGAGCAATATTGGCCATATTATATTCTTATATTGTGTGCGTGTACGAATATATAACAACAAATCACCATTATGTACAACTATAGTGCACTAACTTGAAAAAATGTGGAGAAAGAAAAAAAGAGTGGAGGCTAGGAAATAAAAGAGCCTATCTGGGAGTACTGGGCCTTGTCATTTAATAAGGGTACTATTAAGTTGGACAAGTTGCTTAACTTCTCTGAGCTTTAGTTTTATCTAAAATAGAGATCATAATAGTAACTACTTCAGGGAATATAGATCTAGTGTCACAGTGCCTGATAGGTGGTACCACTGAAAAACAGCATTTATTACTTTCCTAGAAAGTAAGGAAACAAGAAGGCAACCGCAACACCGTTTTAGATTTGCTGTGTACCAGATGCTGTGCTAGGTTCTGTGCATGTTTTATATCATCAAATTGTGACTGTACTGGAAAAGGCCTGGTGCAGATAGTCCTGTTCACCATTTCCCTGTGTTTTTAATTTGAGGCTGTATGCATCTACAGTCTAGGAAGGCTCTGTCCACCAATGCCAAACTGCCCAAGGCCAGGACAACTTCCTGCCCACATGAAAGTGTTGCTGCTGCCCCATCATTAAAAAAAAAAAAAAAAAGACTAATTTATTTCAATTATGGTTGGACACAATACTTTTATTTTTATGTGGTGCTGAGGATCAAACCCAGTGCCTGGCACATGCTAGGCAAGTGTTCTATTGTAAGCATTTCCATAGGTCATCCCCACTGATCTGGAAAGGCATCTAAGTATGCTGTCATAACCCACCTATTTTCCTGTACTTTTAAGAATGATAATCTCGGGGCTGGCGATGTGGCTCAAGCGGTAGCACGCTCGCCTGGCATGCGTGCGGCCCGGGTTCGATCCTCAGCACCACATACAAACAAAGATGTGTCCGCTGAAAACTAAAAAATAAATATTAAAAATTCTCTCTCAAAAAAAAAACAAAAAAAAACTGATAATCTCAGTCAGTTTAGGTTGAGTAAACAAAACTCAATGTAAAACATTTGGGAACTGTGCATGTAGGACAGTAGTACCTGGGAGTCAAAGAATGGAGACATCTTTTAGGCTTTTTTTTTAAAAAAAAAAAAAAAAAAACCACGGATTGAACCCACAGCATTTAACCCACTGAGCCACGTGCCGAACCTTTTTTTATTTTTTATTTTGAGATAGGGTCTCGATAAGTTGCTGAGGCTGGCTTTGAACTTGCAATCATCCTGCTTCAGCCTCCTGAGCCATTGGGATTACAGGCACGTGCCACCACACCTGGCTTCCAAGCTGTTTCTTAATAATTGTGTTCTTTGGAGCCATTCTCTTAATATGTGTTTCCATTCCCTGTAAAAGTAGGATTGTCCATTCCAGCTTCAAAGTATTTTATAAATATTTAGAATTGTGTGTCAAACCTAGTGTTGCTTCCATTCTGCCCACCACAGCTGTACATTTTTAATCAGACCATGATACTGGTTTCTCTCAAGTTTGTTTTAGTTGCTTAGTTTGTGGAGTAGTTGTAAAATGTGAGAGCACAGGTTACAGTTTATGGTTCTTGTCTTTTAAATGCAGAAACTTTGGAAACATATCAAGCACAAGTACGAGAACAAAGAGTAGTTTCTCACCTCCAAGGAAATGAAAGGACCAGATCCACCCACCAGCTGTTTGCCCAGAACTGAGGCCTCAGCCTGAAGATGATTCTCAAGTATTCTTCAGGGACTGCCGGTAGCTGTTGGCAAGAAATGGCTCCACCTGACAAACAGACTCTTTAACTTCTGCCGGGTTTGAAGTGTGTTTAGAGTCATCCGCAAATAAATGTAAATTGTCCTTGAGACCTGCTTCTGCACTGGGTGCTTTTGTTTACCTGATCTTTACTTGTCAGTTAAAGCCCTTTGCAAATACCTAAAGGACAGACTCCACCACATACTCCTCCACGTGGAGTTTTCCATTAACTTCCAAAGAATTCTGGTTTTCAGGACAGCCTGAGTTGGAGATATTACCTTCAACATTGGCCTCAAAACTGTTAGTTACATTCTTAAGTCTCACAGAGGTGACCTTACTCTCTTGGCCATAGGAAGCACTGTGGCCTCTGGGGGAATAGAGATTGGCCTTGGGGCCTTTAGCCAAACCTGCCTCAGTCTTTAGTCTGCCTTTTGCTGAATTTATTGGTAAGCTGCTGGGGCAGGGCCTCCTGTCAAAGTTCCACTGAGGAGTTCAATTTATTAGAATGCTTAGTTGGGTTTGAATTCCACTCCAGCAGTTCTAGCTGGGTGGACCAGTGGCACGTACTTGACCTTGCTGAACTTAAGTTTCCATATCTTTAAAATTAAGATAATACAAATACCTATTGCATGTGGGTTTTGTGAGTTTTAAAGTACTTTAATGCAGCTGGGGAAGTTATAGATGCTGGTAGTTGGAGGAAACTGCTTGCAGAGACAAGGTTGCTAAGGACTAGAAAAACCTGAGCATTCTGCTTGAAACCTGGAGCAATAGGAATGTAAGGAAGGGGAATTCAAGGAACATTATCTGGTCATTAATTCAAAAGTTTGGGTAGCCACTGTGCTAGCAGGAGGTTTTGGGAAAGTAGCACATGGGGCTTGAATTCCCACAGGGCGAGATCGTATAAATGCCATCCTACATGATTACAGACTGGGGCAAAGGTTGGGGAACAGTGCATTGTAACTGAGCCAAGACCTGGAGGTGATAAGGCTGAGTCACTTAAGTTGGTATTGGAGGCAAAACAGGAAGTAGCAGGTTTGAAGGCACCATATTGAGGAATGGATTTACTTAAGCCTGGGAGGCTGAAGGTGATTGGAAGTGATCATTCAGGACCTGATGTGTCAGTGAAGATTCTGGATTTTGCAAAAATTAAACTGAAAATGGCTTAAGCAAGGGAGCAATAAGTTCTGTTTTATTAAAAACCTCACTCTGGTAGGGCGGGATGATTACATTGGAAGCAGGTGGGAGAGAAGCATCTACCTAGGAGGCCAATGCCCTGCTGTTAGTTAAAGCTCATGGCTATAAAGAGACCTTGAAAACTGAGCACTCTGGTTTGGGGTGGCAGTGGAGAACACTGAAAAGTGTAGAACTCCCTGTTTTTATATTTGGGAAACTGCTTGGCCTGGGAAGGAAAATGACTGACCTGGTAAATGTTATCACCTTGAATCTAGAATGATTTAACCAGACAGAGCTAGATCATCCAGAATCTTCTCTGATGGAAGAACATTCAAATCTCCACCCATACAGAGGTAGAAGAGATCCTAGAAATATTTGTTCTACCTAAGGCATATTTTCATGAAGTATAGGCCTAGAGAAATTGTCCTGCCAAAGATGGTACAGCTCTGGGTTCAAATCAAGACCTGAAATAGAGCCTCGTCTAAGATTTCATTTCTTTATTTTCTGCAGCACAGGGGGTAAAACCCAGGGCCTCACACATGCTAGGCAAATGCTCCACCATTGAACTAATATTCTCAGCTCTAGTCTGACTTTTAAGAATGATTTCAGTACCAGCACTGTGGTGCAGGCCTGTAATCCCAGAAACTTTTGAGGCTGAGGCAGAAGAATTACAAGTTTGAGGTCAGCCTCAGCAACTTAAGAAGACCCTATCTCAAAATTTAAAAAGAGGTCTGGGGATGTAGCTCTATGGTAAGAGTGTTCCTTGGTTCAATCCCCTGTACCAAGAAAAATAAAAAGCGATTTTGGCATCATGTAGAGTATAATTCTGGACGTGGAAGATTGCCACTTTGCCCAAAGTGTCAGGCAGTGTGCTGGTAAAAAACAAAGCAATGAACATGTTTGAAGAGTTATCCTGTTATTCTACAGTAGGTAATGATGAGCTTTCAAGTGGGGCACATTCCCAGACTCAGCCCAACTAGCAAGTATATCCATAAGATGCCCCATTATTTGTCACCAGCATTTCTAGGCTACTGTAGTGTGTGTGCTCTTTCAATAAAAGATGAACACTAAAATTATAATTAACCCTGTTTTATGTATTGTCTTAGAAGAACCATGTCC